GTCTTGGTAAGCAACAAAACATATAAGGTAAGCAATCAATGCATATCAATTTTTTAAAATCTGGCTTAAATCACTACAATTATAACATAGCCCAATGAGTAGGTCTTAGTTTTTTTGTTTTTTTTTAAATAGGCTCCATGCCCAGTGTGGAGCCCAATGTGGGGCTTGAGCTCACAACCCTGCAATTGAAACTTGAGCTGAAATCAAGAGTCAGACACCCAACCAACTGAGCCACTGGGCACCCCAGTCTTAGTATTTTTAATTTTAGTTTAGTTTTGGTCACTGACATGAGCTCCATCTCCATGTAGGATGGGACTAAGCCTGTTCTACAAAAGCCCAAGCAAAAATCAATCCTAGTTCCTTTAGGATATGTTTTCTTAAAAAGAGGTCCAAGGTCCTGAGGTAGTTTCTGAAGTTCCTTCAGGCAATCTGTACACTTGTCTCTTGTAGTATTCATGTTTATGCCACATCTATGTTTTAGACGAATTATAATCATTAATGAAAAAGTAATTGATTTCTTTCAAAACAATACCATTCATCTCAGACCTAAGTGTTTTAGTAGTGTGTGTCTCTTTTTCCAGAGACAAGGAAAACAAATAGGTTTACCAGTCTGTAAGATTAAATTTTCTATTAATATTATTCATTTCCATAATGATGCTACTTATCACGCTTATCAATTCTATTAGAGCAGGTATATATGAGATGTCTTTTTAAATCCTACTTTCAGATAATTAAATTTCTTACCAACCTTCACAAGTGGCATCTGTTGAATAGGTACATTTTCAACTGGGACATAACATGTATAGCAATAGAACATTCTCGAACCACCACATTTGAGACATTTTGATCTTCCACTTCTTTGAGCTTTTTGAAGAACTTCTTGAGATGCTAAGCATAAGTTTTGAAGAGGATCTTCTGCAGCTATAGAAGTAGTTTGTGAGTGTTGTATTTCTACAAATTTTGAATTATTTTCTTCCTTTTCTTTGAGAAGTACAGGTGGGTTGAGAGACATTTTTCATTCAAACCAAAGTTTAACATCTATTTCTAAAACATAAATCATAGGTGCACTGCAAAAGAAAAAAAAAAGTGGGGGAGGGGTGGAATAAAGACAGGAAATATTTTATTCCTTGTCTCCACAAGGAAAATTACTCAATTTAATTCACAACTGCATACTGTTTTTAGTATTTATTAACAAGTATTAATAAGCTTTTTAACCACCAAATTAACACAATTTAAAATACAAAATTAAGAAGCAATAAACTCAAAACAATAAATGACCCTTCTGAGTCATCCCTTCCATAAAAATAAAAAGGTGCTCTCTTAGAAAAACTATTTCAGATATAAAATTTAGGTACCAACAATCCATTTTTCAGTGACTCTTATTTTGTTTTATATTAGGAATACAATGTTTTAATGTTAGTATCAGCCAGGAATGTATTCAACTCTGTAGGCTCTGACTTTAAACTGATGTTATATGATATCAAATCTCAACCTGAATCCTAACGAAAGTACAAGGTTCTAGTGAAATCAGTAAAATCTAGTTGGTTATGTTCTAAAAGACATATTCTCTGACTTAAATCACACGCACAAAAATATAACTAAACATCCATTAAAACAGGACAGGCATCTACTACTACCAATTACAAGTTGTAAAATATCCCAAAAAGGTGAAATATATGCCCAGAAAAATAAAGTGTGATCTTATAAATTTAAAAATTTTACAGAGTAATGTTAATGTCCTCTCACTCAAAGATTTCATACCACTTTTTAAGAATATAATTCATTTAGAGTCTTCAGTTCTAGAGATAAAATAGTAAAATAACTTTTCCACTTAAATATTTTCTTCCGGGAAGAATGATGTCTGTCTAAACTGTTATTCAAATACTCTGTAAGCACAGTATCTTTTGAGGGAGAAAAGAGACTGGGGCCCTTTTGATTTGATATGCATTCCAGAGCTGTAAAATGAGTCTCTCATTATAAAGCTTATGGCATTGTGGTGTTTAACTATGAGGCCCTGGGCACTTTGAGTACAAACACTGACAGGAGAAATGCTGTGACTGCAACAGGAAACTTTTTTGTGGTATCCCAAATAGAAAGTGAACAAAAAGTCCAGTGGAACATAATATACAACATAATTTACCAACAGGAAGTTAGTGATACTAATTTAATTACTCATCAAGAGTTTTTTATAGATTGTAAATCCCAGTAAGCTTGAGACCCAAATAAAAAGATGCAAAGAAAAAAGATGCTTGTTACTGAAGGAAAAAATAAAATATACTGGCCAAATTTATTCAAATTTACCAAGCTGTCACCTTTTCTTGAGTCTCAGATCCTTTTAAGATCATGTGAGTCTTGGACCTTATCGGCAGAAAATGCATACACAGACACAATATTTTGTACACAATTTCAGATGGTTTGCCGATCTGTAAGCATTCATCTACAGATCTAGTAAAGAAATCCTGACTACCATCAAACAGTCATTCTAAGGACAGGAGCAGTTTTAAAAGTCTGGGAAGAGATCCTATTTGTCTCCAGAAATCAGAGCTACAAACCCCCTGTTGGGGAAGCAGAGGTCAGCTGTCACAAGCCAATTGAGGTCTCATTACTGCACTTAGGAAGGTAGTTAATTTGCACCAAGTCTTGGTTTGGGTTTGCTCTGGTGTTGCCTGAGGTCCTTACAGAGAAACATTTTTAGGTTGTGATAGTCTTGAGTTATCCCATCATGGGACTCATCCTAAAAAAGAAACTGGACTGGACTAATTCAACCTGACTCCATTTTTCTGGGTGTTCTAATAGTTATTTAGGGGGTTTGCATATGCCACCAAAGGCCTCAGGCAATAATGGGGCTGAAGGACACAGTTCCTGGGGATGTCGTGAAAGTCAATGTGTTTCCTGACATTCAGTGGAAAACTACTGATGAGTTTTTCTAGGGCCCTCCAAGTGCATTCTGCCTCTGAAGTATTCCCCTATATTTTACTTGGCCTTCCATCCATAAAGCCAAAAGGACATTAGTGAAGCCTTATATAAATGTTCTTCCTGTACAAAAATCAAATGTAAACACCTATAAGGCAGTGAAAGGGAAATGTTTATGGCTCCTTTCCCTGCCTCACCTATACATTCTCCAGTGGATGTGGTGGCCACGCACAGAAGAGGCCAGAAATAGTTAAGTCATGGACAGCTCCGCCCAAAGGTCTCTGAAACCATATGACAAGGGCATCTGTCCTGACCTAGACAATAGCCTGCCTCAAATGTGTACAAATAGTTTGTTGCAAACGATGGTTCACAACCTTCAAACCATACTTAACATCAAATTCGTGCAGGGAATACAAGTGGAGTTGTGGGAGTTACTTAGAAAACATAAAAAGAATGTATTCCTAAAGAACTAATAAATATTTTTACCTTGATGATATATTCATCATTCTGCAACTTAGGTTGAAAACTAATTTTTTACTTCCCCTCTACCCTCTTTTCCCAAAACACCAATTACTCACCAAGTTCCATAAATTCTACCTTGCATATAATCCTCTATTTTTAGTCTCAAAGTCAGGACTCTACATGATCTACGGCAATCTCTTACATCTTTTTATGTTTGCCCACTTATTGGTTCCACGTATTTGCATGGAAAAATCTGCTTTAGTCTGGAGTTGCCTTTTAGTGAAGCTATCCCTCCTAGCAATCAACTCTGCAAGAGCAGAATTCTTTACTGATCTCACATATCTCTCCCTGTGTCTTATGCAGCAGGAGGAATTCAACAACCACTTATTAAATCAAAACCATTCTGAAAAAGAAAGCATATGTATGCATCTCCCTACTGAAGGACCTGACAAACCACCTTGATGGGCCATCTGCAGCCTGGCACAAGTGGCAACATGGCAGATTTTTTTTTTTTTCAAAACAATGTTTTAAAAACTCCAAGGTATAAGTCACCTCCCGATGGAATACTATATACAACTCCCCTACCATGTATTGTAGACCAATTCAGTACTAGATAAAACCCACTCCAAAATTTTTTTTCAAGTATTTTTAAGAACCTGGTCAGGTCACATAATATACACAGGTCCAACATTCATTTTTTAAAATCCAACGTGCCACCTTTTCAAACAGGACCAATGGCCTCTCCCACATCACCCATCATTTGGTAGGCAGACTGTCTTGCCTTAGTTTTTCATGGTACACTAGGGTTTAGATAGAAATAATCCTTAAATGCTGTGGTTTTCACTCAAGCAGAGATTTTATCATCCAACTCCGTGAACTGGCATCTTAAACTATTAATATACTTCTTTACTTGTCCTACATTCCCAAGAAACAATTTAGACATAAGAACAGACTCCTTGGCTTATTATGTAACCACTATCTTAATATGTTAAATACACTGCATGGCGGTACTAAGCTGCTCCTTCTGTGATCACCAATTCCCCGCAAACCACTCCAAACACTAAAAAATATAGTTTCTAGGGGACTACCTGCCAGAACAGACCTTCCTTAGAGCGGAAACCACTGAAAATGATTGTTAGGGCAGAAAAAAAGTTTTCTGAGGAAAAATTTGGAAGCCTTTTTCCCAAAGGGCACGCAGGATCCTAAAAACCGCAAGCGCTCGAGCACAGGGACCTGGGCCCCGCTCACAGGCGACACCCTGCACGACCTCCACTAGGGCCCGGCCAAGCAGCGTCCTCTCCCTGCAGTCGCACGTCTCCGGCCAGACCACTGGTCCGCAGAGGGGCTCGGAGACCTGCACCAGGGATCCGAGTGGGACTCAGACCTGCACTGCCCGCGGGTCCTCGCACAGCTCCACGCGTCTTCAGCTCCGCCCGAGCCTGAGGCGCGCGCCCGGCCCAGGTCGCGCTCGGGCACGGCGGAGCGCTTTCCGGGAGACACAGAAGGGAGGAGCCCGGCCGTTGCTAGGGCCGTTGCTAGAGCCTGGCGCCGCGCAGGTCCCGCGACGAAAGTAACGGGCGGGGAGGGACGCGGGGCGTGGTTAGAGGGGGAAGTCCCGCCTCAGCCTTTTGGCGGCCGGTGGTGTAGCCCTAGTCCTGGGAGACGTGATCCGAGAGCGAGGCCCGATCGGTGAGACTAGGCCTCACAGCCCGCCAACCCTGGGCTGAGTTCCCTGCTGACCCTGGCGGAGGCCCCCTTAAATGGGACGCGGCTCTGGAAGTATACTCTCAAGGTGTAGTTGCAGTGAGTTGTGAAAAATGCCGATCCTACAGAACACTTTTCCATTTTACCTATTCCAGAATTATTTTAGTCGTGAGAACTTGGTTCTGTTATTTTTTTATGGCTATGTTAAGATGAGTACTAGTAGTAATGAAAGCTATCAGAAAAATTGTGTGTATCTTGATGCTTTGGTTTGCTTGAAAACTACACACACGTCGAGTTGGAACTACTTTGTGCGCTTTTCCATTTTGGAATTAAGCATAGTATGTGGATAGATTGTAAAACCACTTTTCCTTGCCCCACCCCGAGGAAAATCCAAACCTAAGGAGTGCACTTCAAAACTGTGAGATTCAGAAACACAATGGCATTGTATTTATTTGAATTTAGCCTGTGAGGACAGAAGCTTGCCCTAGAGGAGCTTAAGGACATCAAGGTAAAATGGGTAGTACAGAAAACACAACATGACTAATAAATTGTAGGAATTTCACAAGAGCTCAGAATGGAGGGGTCAATGAAGGCTTATTGGTTGGATTTGAGTAAGGTTTTGGAGAATGATCATGGCTTAGAGCAGTGCTTTTAAAGGGGATTGTGTGGGACCCATTGGCGGAGGTCCCTTTTGTAAGCAAGGAAATATATTGAGTCAAAACACATTTAATTTTTTTTATTTTGTTAATTTTTTTACAATAAGCTCTAGGCCCAGTGTGGGACTTGAACTCACAACCTGAGATCGAAAGTTGCGAGCTCCACAGACTGAGCCAGTAGTTGCCCCCAAAACTACACATTTTAAAAAATGAATTAGTTTAGTGTGAAAATGTCAGTGCATGGCACTTGGGAAGGTTAAGTATTACTTCATGGAGTTTTTGGTTTTGTTTTAGATTTTATTTATTTATTTGTTTGTTTGTTTGTTTGTTTGACAGAGAGAGAGAGTCCAAGCGGGGGGAGCAGTAGAGGGAGAGAGAGAAGCAGACTCTCTGCTGAGTGGGGAGCTGGATGCGGGGCTTGATCCCAGGACTTGGGTATCACGACCTGAGCTGAAGGCAGACGCTTAACCAACTAAGCCACCCAGGCGCCCCACTTTATGGAGTATTAAATTACAGATGGTCAATGACTTAACATTGGTTTGATTTAAGACTTTTCAGCTTTATAATGGTGTGAAATCAATATGCATTCAGTAGAAACCATGCTTTGAGTTTTGACTTGGTATTTTCCTGAACTAGTGATACGTGGTATGAAACTCTTGTGATAATGGGCAGCCACATCAGCCAGGCCATCACAAGAGTAAACAACCAATACACTTAGAACTATTCTCTACCCATACAATCATTCTGTTTGCCACTTTCAGTACAGTATTCAATTACATGAGATATTTAACATTTGATTATGAAATAGGCTTTGTGTTAGATGATTTTGCCCAGTGGTAGGCTAACATAAGTATTCTGAGCACATTTAAAGCAGATTAGGCTAACCTAATTCAGTAGGTTAGGTGTATTATATGCATTTTCAATTGAGGATGGGTATATGGAAACATAACCCCATCATAAGTCAAGAAAGATCTGTGTGTGTGTGTGTGTGTGTGCGCGCGCGCACATCCTTGTGTCATGTTTATAAAATGTATTTCTTATTGTGTGTTTCTCCTTAAAAAGTTAGAAAGCCACTGCTTTAGGAAGAAAGATGAGCTTTCTGGGTAAGAACAATAGCCATAGCAAAGTCTCCAAGCCAAGAATAAATAATTTACACCCTTTTCTTTTTTTAACAGCTTTAGTTTAGGTGCACAAATTACAAAAGCAAATGATGCTACTTATTAATTGAAGTGAGGTGAGTACTGGCTTACTATTGCTATGTAAGAAGTTACTCCAAAATATGGCTTACAACCACCTTTTTATTGTGTTCATGAATTGTGTGTTCAGGAGGGCACAGAGGGGCTGCTTTTCTCTGATAATTCAGCTTGGAAGTCTACGAATGCTAGCAGAGATCGTATGTGTAGCTTCTTCATGTGGTCTGAACTTCCTCACAGGATGGCAGAGGGTAATTCGACTTCTTAGGTTAGGCCCAGTGCTCCAAAGCCAAGTGTTGCAATGAATAAGGTAGAAACTACATGTTATTTTCTGACCTAGTCTCAAGGAGTAACACAGTATCAGTTCTCACACATTCTTTTGGTTATAAGTGTATTTTAAGACCTGTTCAGATTATAGAAGAGGGGACATAGATAGATGCCACTTCTCAAAAGATTGCCAAAGAATTTGTGGCCATTTTTTAAAAACCACCATAATGAATTTACTACTGTCACAGACAACGCCAACATTTCAGTGGTTTAAAACCTTAAACTTTTATTTCCCACAGGAAATCCATTGAGGATGTACTAGTCAGATGAAACATTAGATTCGAGGATGCAGATTGTTTGTTTTTTGGATTTGGGGTTCTTTTTTACAGTTTTAGTGGTTCTACTGTCTCCTAAGACTTGGGTCCAACAGCTTATCTGACAAAAAAGAAAGCATGGAAAATCATACAAAAGCTTTCAGAGGTCATCCCTAAAAGTGACAGATATCACTTTGCCCACATTCCAAAGGCTCCCGCTTTAGCTGCAAGCAAGCCTGGGAAATGTAGAGAAACATATACATGTTGGTAAGCACCAACAGTTTGCCCTATTTTAGATTTTTCACCAAAACCCCATAGTCCCCAGTTCCTCCATTCTATTCTCAGTTCTTCTTTCAAAAGGAAAATTCTTTCAAGTCTTTTCAATATCTTTTCTGTTTTTTATGGTATATGTCGAAATATACTTACATTGCAATTTTTAATTGACAATTTCAGATATTATCCATTGACTTTCTCCTATGAAAGTCAGTGATTAAGCTCTTTTACAACACCACCCTCAGGTGTATGAAAATTCCTTCTCTCTCTACCCCCACACGTTCTTCTTATCCCCTCATCTCTCAATATAGTGATACGCCAATTTTTGTTTAAATCAACATTTGTAAATATTATTCAACCCTGATATGTTGTGTTTCCATTATCTTTCCTTATCATTCAGTTAGAAATTTTTTCCAGTTTTCTCTATTATTTTTTCTGTGAGACATATTTTACTTAGAAATGGATTATTTAGGGCACCTGTATGTCTCAGTTGGTTAAGCATCTGCCTTCGCTCAGGTCATGATCTCAAAGTCCTGGGATGGGGTCCCATGTTGGGCTCCGGACTCCTTGCTCGGCCGGGAGCCTGCGTCTCCATCTCCCTCTGCCTACCATTCCCCCTGCGTGTGCTCTCTCTCTGTCAAATAAATAAATAAAATCTTAAAAAAAAGAAATGGATTATTTAATATTTAAGATTTTTCTAGATGTCTTATTGTTGCTGTTTTCTCTTTTATTGCTCTTGTTGTCAGAGAACATACTCTGAATGATTTCAATTATTTGTAACTTTTGAGATTTGTCTTATGGTACAGCGTAGGTTCATCTTGGTAAATGTTCTATGTTCCATTAGTTTAAAAGAGTATGGATTCTGTACTTGTAAGGTATAGTTGTTCTGTAAATGTCAGTTAAGTTAAATTGATTGACTTAAGTATTGTTCAAATCTTTTATCTCCTTACTGATGTGTGTGTGTGTGTATGTGTGTGTGTGTGTACATACTTGATTTATCAATTACATCAATTAGGTGTTAAGATCTCTAACTGTAATTGTGGTTTTTGCCTATATTTCCCTTTAGTTTTATAAATTTCTGCTACATGTATTTCAAGGCTCTTTTATTAGATGCAAACACATTTAGCATTGGTAGCTCTTCTTAATGAATTGACCTCTTATCACTATGAAATAACCTTATTTATGCCTGGTAATACTTCTTGTCTTGAAGTCTATCTTATCCAATATTAATGTTGACATAATAGTTTCTTATGATTAATAGGCGCATGGTTCTAGAATTTCCATTTTTTTTTAGAATTTCTATTTCTCTTGAAATAACCTATCTCTTCATGCACCATAATCTAACCTATATTGTAAAATCTTTAACATATTTATAACAGATGCTGTAAAGTCCTTGTCTGCAAGGTACAACTGGGTTCTTAGTGAATTGGTTTGTATCAACTGTGCTTTCTCTTGATTACGGGTCCCATTTTACTTCTTGTTTGTATTCTTGTAATTGTTTTATTGTGAATTAGACATTATGTGGAAAAATTGTAGAGGATGACATGTAATTTAGTGTTATTTAGTCTTCAGAAAGCACAAGCCTATTGCTCTCCTTGGCATTCAAAGTGAGATGTAGATCTTTTTATTCCTTCTAGGTTTGAGTTGAAATTTAGGGTTGGCTTCAGCTTTAATTGGATTTTCACCTGTGACTAACCCAACTTCCAACTTCCCTCATCATAGCCAACTCATATCTCATCAATATTGAACAGGGAGAAGTTGGGACTGAAGTTTTTCTTACATTTTTGCTTCACCTTTGGAGTCAACTCTGTCAGGGCCCCGGAACCCAAGTACCATAAGAATGTGTTGGCCCAAATTAGTTCTCTTGTCTTTCCAGCCCCTCCTCGACTGCTGCTTTTTAGACAAAACTTGGAAGTGAGGCACAGGGGTCTGGGAAGGGCTTGTTTGTCTGACTCATTTGTTTTTGTATTTGGGTGTCTTTCAGACTCCAGTTTGTTCCTCCAGCTCATGCCAACGGCTAAGGTCCAACTGATTTCTCTTCATCTTTGAGAAGTTACTGCACCGTGGCAGGCCAACACTTTCCTCAGTGGATGGTCAGAGCTCACTGCTGGGTAAGGAAGCTGCCAGAGCTTTATGCTCACTTACAAAGAGAATATTTCTTTTTGGATTTCTGGTCATTAAGGCTTCCAGGTAGGGAGACTTCACAGGCTTGCAGTTGCCCAGGGCTTCGTGATTAAGTGGACCCCACACTTAGTTTAATGGTCTCATGTTACCATCTTAAAATTCTTAATTTTTGAACAAGGGACTTGGCAATGGTACAAATGATGTAGCCAGTCCTGCTTACTAGCACCCACTACTCTTCACCAACCTCATAGAAAAGTAAGATGTTTATTTTGTCTGGGTTTCTTTTGTTGTTGCTAGGGGAGCATAGGTGTTTTGAATCCTTCTACATTATACTGAGAGCAGAAGTCCATTTAATTTATGCCTACTGCCTTTTAACATTTACCTTAGAGAACTTTGGGATTTTATATTGAAATTAGCTGGAGCTTTCTCATGTAAGTTTCACTTCCTTAATACGTTTTTCTAATTTCCTTTAACTGAAATGTGGGTATTATTTTAATGGATAAAGAAGATATCACACACACACACACACACACACACACACACACACACACACACACATCCTGGAATATTACACAGCCATGAAAACGATGAGATATTGCCATTTGCAACAACATGGATGGACCTAGAAGGTGTTAGACTAAGTGAAATAAATCAGACAGAGAAAGACAAAAACCATAGAATTTCACTTATATGTAGAATCTAAAAAGCAAAACAAATGAAAAAACAAACAAAAGCAGAACCAGAATTATAAAAACAGAGAACAAACTGATAGTTGCCAGAGTTAGGGGGTTGTGCAAAATGGGTGAAGAAGAATAGGAGATACAGGCTTCTAGTGGTGTAATAAATAAGCCACAGGCATAAAAAGTCCGGCATAGAGAATATAGACAGTGATATTGTGATAGTGCTGTACGGTGATAGATGGTAGCTACACTTACGGTGAGCAGAGCATAACCTATAGAGTTGTTGAATCACTATGTTGTACACCTGAAACTAATGTGATGTGTGTCGACTGTACTCAAATAAAAAAAATTTTTTTTAAATGTGGGTATTATTTTTAGTGCTTTGTACTAGAAATGGTTTGATAACCATTATAAGAAAAAAAGGCAACATTTAGATTGTTTTAATTAGCCTCTTTATAGTCCATGTATTTCTAAATATACTGATAGCTTCCTTCTAGCAAAACTACTACACTCACTCTCTCTGAAGATATTATATCCTGAACATTTTTTTTTGTCTCTAAGCATTCTGTGCACACCATCTCTTATTTATTACCTTCTCAGTCTAGAGTCCCATGTTTTCCATTAAATTTTTTTGACAGCTCTATGTAGCTTTGCTTTTGAATACTTGTTTTTATAATGATTGCCACATATACCTTTTATTTTGTTACTTGTTATTGTCTGTTACATATTTGCTTATATTCATCGTATATTTTAACAGTATTAGAGAATGAGATATGCTCTTCAACCTCCAGTGTGTAGATATTTTTACAAAAATATGGTGATTTTGTAATCTTGATAATTTTATATATTGCTGTGAAATATGTATTTTAGTAAATTAAAATATACTACAATCTTTTCAGACATGTCAATATCAGATCATTAGGATATGCTGAATTCCTCTTTTTTTTTTAAGATTTTATTTATTTGACAGAGAGATAGCGAGAGCAGGAACACAAGCAGGGGGAGTGGGAGAGGGAGAAGCAGGCTTCCTGCGGAGCAGGGAGCCTGAAGTGGGGCTCGATCCCAGGACCCCATTATCATGACCTGAGCCGAAGGTGGATGCTTAAAGACTGAGCCACCCAGGCACCCCTGATTTCCTCTTATTTTTCCTTCTTCTAACTGGTTTTTCACTCTCTAGAATTGGTCTTACTATTCTTCTAAATAACTACACATTTCTCTGACATTTATCTACTCATTTCTTCATTAATTTATACATATTGCAAGTACTTATTATGCACTAACCCTGAGCTAGTCACTGTATGAAATTTTGACAGTTCAGCAGTGATTATACCATAGTTTCTATCCTCATATAGATATGAATCTGCTGTGCGTTACAATAGATAATCTTTTGGGGGAACAAGGAAGGCTTCCTAGAAAAAGTTACTTTTAATTTGATATTTAAAATAAGAGTTAAATAGGCCAAGAAGGGATTGGAGGGAGAGGGTTTGGGACAGGAAACCTTCCAAGCAGAAGAAAGAATGTGTACACAGTCTCTAAGGCAAGGAAGAACAAGATGTGGTCTTGATTAAAATTAATTTGTCTAATGAAAGAATATGTTTTCAACTTATGAGAAAACTACTAATAAAAATGGTATTATTATTTATTACGCTGAAACATTCAAATATTTAAATTATTTTCACCATGTCACTAGTGTGGCCTTTTAAATATGTCATCAGCAAGAGGGGCAAGTTACTATATTTTTGGCTCTGAATTTATTGTAGACACCATCCAATATAGTCCAAAACATCTCAGAACTCTTGTAGGAATTTGAAATGAGGATATTCAAGAGGATTCATGTGGAGTTTTTTTCTAGGAGCAATATATAAGAGGGAAGCCTTTTATGGAATTTGGTTTAGAGGCTTGGGATTTAAACATTGATCTCTGTACCTTTCTAAAGTACAGGGACTTTACAAAGTGAATATTTTACAATGTCTTATGGCTCTGAAAATTATAACTTAAGTCCAGTATCATTTACTTAAGTAAATTATATGTAAACATCATAAACAGTCTGATTTTATGTTAATTGGAAATATTGATTTTACTTCATTAGAAAATGCAAAAACCTCCAAGGAGCATTGAAGAATTCTTAAAGTTTCAAAATTGGGTGAGTAGAACATCTATTTTATGTGCGAATAAATCTTTTAAAATATCACTTGTGGAGGGGTGCCTGGGTGGCTCATTCGGTTAAGCGTCTGACTCTTGATTTCGGCTCAGGTCATGATTTCAGGGTTGTGAGATCGATTGAGCCCCTGCTTGGGATTGTCCCTCTGCCTCTCTCTTTCTCTCTCTCTCCCTCCCCCTCTCTAAAAAAATAAAAAATAAAAAAATAAAATATCAGTTGTGGAGATCTGGAAAAGACTTTGAAGTCTTTTAGGAAAAGATTTTAGGAATAGAAATTCAAAAAACCACATTTCAGTGTGGGAAATACTTATAAATATTTATCTCTTTTCAGTAGGCTCTATGTTGTAGCCTTTCCCTCTTAATATTCTGTTCTCTTTTTTGACTTTGAGAAAATTCTAGTTTTATTTTTTATTTTTTTTCTTAAAGATTTTATTTATTTATTTGACAGAGAGAGACACAGCGAGAGAGGGAACACAAGCAGGGGGAGTGGGAGAGGGAGAAGCAGGCTTCCCACTGAGCTGGGAGCCCGATGTGGGACTCGATCCCAGGACCCTGGGATCATGACCTGAGCTGAAGGCAGACGCTTAACGACTGAACCACCCAGGTGCCCCGAGAAAATTCTAGTTTTATATCCTATCAGAAGAATTATACAAACATTTTAAATAATTTTGCTGATGTAAGGTGTTTGTCTAAATACACCTTAAAGACTATCCGATAGGGGCGCCTGGTGGCTCAGTTGTTAAGCGTCTGCCTTCAGCTCAGGTCATGATCCCAGCCAGGGTCTTGGGATCGAGCCCCGCATCGGGCTCCCTGCTCAGTGGGAAGCCTGCTTCTCCCTCTCCCACGCCCCCCTGCTTGTGTTCCCTCTCTTGCTGTCTCTCTGTCAAAAAATAAATAAAAAATCTTAAAAAAAAAAAGACTATCTGATAATTATGAGTACTTACCTCATTTATCCATGTACCACAGCTTAGACTAACAGGTAGTTTGCAGAGGTGTTCAGTTTCCTTGATTGTTGAATCAGAGTGAAATATTCAAAATGTATTTTCATGTTGAAAGCTCCAGTTTCCATTATTATGAGTAATACTGACTTCTGGGGTTATTGGGCTTGCTACAAGCTTTCCCTTGGGTCTATACACTTGTGAGTCTGAAAGTCAGGTTTCTTTTGCATTGAAGAATGGCAAGAGGAACACCTGGGTGGCTCAGTCGGTTAAGCCTCTGCCTTTGGCTTGGGTCATGATCCCAGGATCATGGGAAGGAGCCCTGCATGGGGCTCCCTGCTCATTGGGGAGCCTTCTTCTCCCTCTGCCTGCCACTCCCCCTGCTTGTGCTCTGTCTCCCTCTTCCTCTCAAATAAATAAGTAAATAAAATCTTTAAAAAAAAAAAAAAAGAATGTCAAGAGCTAGGATAAAGATATTAGTGTGGAAAACAGAGAGAAAAGGAGGCTTTTTTTAATGAGGTGTGTACATTGGACTTTAAATAATTTGTACCTATTTATGCTTATATATAAACAGAATTTGCTATAACTAAAATGTTGAGAATAGAATTTCAAAAATATCTATTTTTAAACCCCTATTTTCTGTTCTTTGTTTAAATAATTTTTTTTTAATTTTTTAGAAAAGCAGTGAGTTCCCTTTAGGAGCAAATAGAAAATGAAAATATTCCTAGTTTATAAGAGTTTATTTCAATCACTGTGGCAGAGCCTAATTTTTTAAACTACTCTTAGGACAAGCTTTTTGCAATTATTTTTATTTAAATAATGATGGAAATGTGCTGTAACCTAATCACAATGTTTGAGGTTTTAATACCAAGGGAAAAGGATTATAGTTAAAATCAAGCCAAACTCAGCAAATAATTATGGAGACATTTGGACTATACCATCATACATGTTTAAGAATCTATGATTTCAGATGAAAATTTCTAATTATTTGAATTGGAAAATGCATAATCACTCTGCTTAAGAATAATGCTAATCAAATCAAGATCATAGGTTTATGCCAGCCCTTCACCAAAGACAATAAAATCAAAATCAAAGCATATGTCTAATGGCCTGTAAGCAGCACTATCTTTGTATGCACTTATATTGATAGCCTTCAGTTTTTATCAGATGGCATTTGATAAAACAACATATATCCATTTGCACCATTTTATCATTTATAGGTTTAACTGTAAAATATTTTTTATTGTCTGGATTTCCCAAATACTTGTATTCTGTAATTACTTTTTTTAAGGTATGACTATGTCTATGCATTGCCAAGCTATTGGATATTTGAAAACATCCAGGAATAAAATGACTGGATATCTAATTTTTTGTTTGCTGGACAAAACTTTTGTCTAGAGACATTGGTAAGAAGGTAATAATAACTTCCTCGAATTCATTCAAGAAATATTTTTGAGTACCTATTACATGCCAACCACATGAATAATTAGAATATATCAGTGAATAAAAATAGAAAAAGATCCCCACCTTCATGGAGCTGTCATTTTTTTAGAAATGAGGCATATGATAAACAAATGAGTAAAACAAAACAGAAATTAAAATATATTCTGAACTGCTTATGGCTTCCTGGAAAGCCTAGCTATTTAATTTCCCTCTAAAATATAAAAGCAAAGGTATGTATGTGCATAGTGGTGTAGTGGTTAAGAACAGAGGCTCTGGTGTCAGATTGCCTATGCTCAGATCCCAACTCTGCTACTAGCGAGCAGTAGACCAGTACCTGGAACCTACATGTTAGCTGTTAGTTTCTCACGTCTTATAATTTATCTTTTGTCATATCATCTAAAACTGTCCATTTTGGCTGATTCCTACCATTTTTATCTTTCTTTTGTAATTTTAATATTTTATAACTTCTACTCCTATCTTTCCCCTCTTCCTTTTATTATAGTTCTGTGTACTTTTTTTTACCTTCAGTCATTTCACATTTATCTATTTGATCAATTCCCATATTCTCTTCCTGCTTCTTTTCCCTTTACTCCATCACCATTCTGTTTCTATTTTTATTTTTATAAAAATATTTTCTATTTTTATATTTTTATAACAGCCTCTTGTTCCTTTTTTGTAATTTAATTTTTAATTTTTATTAAAAATTTTTATTAAAAATTTTTATTAAAAATTCTAATTTTTAATTTTTATATTTTTATAACAGCCTCTTATTCCTTTTTTGTAATTTAATTTTTTAAATTTAATTTAATTGTAATTTTTGTAATTAATTTTATTTTATTATGTTAGTCACCATACAATACATCATTTGTTTTTGTTGTGATCCACGATTCATTGTTTTCATATAACACCCAGTGCTCCATGCAGTACGTGCCCTCTTTAATACCCATCACCGGGCTAACCCATCCCCCCACCCCCTCCCCTCTAGAACCTTCAGTTTGTTTCTCAGAGTCCACAGTCTCTCATGGTTCATCTCCCCCTCCGGATTCCCCCCCTTCATTGTTCCCTCCCTTCTCCTAATGTCCTCCATGCTATTCCTTATGTACCACAAATAAGGGAAACCATATGATAATTGACTTTCTCTGCTTGACTTATTTCACTTAGTCATAATCTCCTCCAGTCCCATCCATGTTGATGTAAAAGTTGGGTATTCATCCTTTCTGACGGCTGAGTAATATTCCATTGTATATATGGACCATGTCTTCTTTATCCATTCATCTGCTGAAGGGCATCTCGGCTCTTTCCACAGTTTGGCTATTGTGGACATGGCTGCTATGAACATTGGGGTGCATATGGCCCTTCTTTTCACTACATCTGTGTCTTTGGGGTAAATACCCGGAGGTGCAATTGCTGGGTCATAGGGTAGCTCTATTTTTACTTTTTTGAGGCACCTCCACACTGTTTCCCAAAGTGGCTGTACCAACTTGCATTCCCACCAACAGTGTAAGAGGGTTCCCCTTTCTCCACAACCTCTCCAACATTTGTTGTTTCTTGCCATGTCAATTTTTGCCATTCTAACTGTTGTAAGGTGGTATCTCAATGTGGTTTTGATTTGTATTTCCCTGATGGCTAATGATGATGAACATTTTTTCATGTGTCTGTTAGCCATTTGTATGTCTTCTTTGGAGAAATATCTTTTCATGTCATCTGCCCATTTTTTGACTTGATTATTTGTTTTTTGGCTGTTGAGTTTGAGAAGTTCTTTATAGATCTTGGAAATCAGCGCTTTGTCTGTAGTGTCATTTGCAAACATCTTCTCCCATTCTGGGGGTTGCCTCTTAGTTTTGTTGACTGTTTCCTTTGCTGTGCAGAAGCTTTTTATCTTGATGAAATCTCAAAAGTTCATTTTTGCTTTTGTTTCACTAGCTTTTGGAGATGTTACTTGAAAGAAGTTGTGGCCGATGTCAAAGAGGTTACTGCCTATGTTCTCCTCTAGGATTTTGATGGATTCCCGTCTCACATTGAGGTCTTTCATCCATTTTGAGTTTATCTTTGTGTATGGTGTTAGAGAATGGTCGAGTTTCATTCTTCTGTATATAGCTGTCAAATTTTCCCGGCACCATTTATTGAAGAGACTGTCCTTTATCCATTGCATATTTTTTCCTGCTTTGTCGAAGATTATTTGACCATAGAGTTGAGGGTCCATATCTGGGCTATATGTCTGTTTTTGTGCCAGTACCATGCTTAGTGATCAGTGCTTTGTAATAGAGCTTGAAATCAGGCAACGTGATGCCCCCAGCTTTGTTTTTCTTTTTCAACATTTCCTTGGCAAACAGCCTCTTGTTCCACCAGTGTTGCATTATTATGAATTCTCTTACTTATCTTATTCATTCATTCATTTAGTGATTTTTATTCACTGCCTACCAGGCCTCAAGTATTGTCCTGGACGCTTGAGATACAACAATGAATATATCAGAGAAAAATCCTTGCCGTCATGGAATTTGCATCACCCTGCTTTTGCACTATTTCTCTTTAGTGGCACACTTTTTTAGTCCTTTTCAGTTCTTTAGGTACTGAAAAATTGAATTCTTTCCTTATGTATACATCACATTTGATCTTCCCTGTTATTTATTTCTTATTCTGTGTCTTGTTTTTCTGCTTTCATGTGACTTTTATCTAGAAATACTTTAATTAATCTTCTCTCGGTGCATTGGTATCAATTTTCATTAACAAGTCTACTGCATTTGTAATCAAGACCTAGAGAGTACTCAGATTCCTACCGTGATTTTTCTCACAGAATCAAAGATACTTTATGATAGAATAATTATTTTAATCCAATTTTCTTTATTTAGGGAAGAGCCTGTTTGTTTGTTGTCTGTTCATTCATCTACCCATCCATCCATCCATCCATTTAAATACCTCCTTATATTAAAACTTAAGGGAAGAAGAGCTAAAAGTCACTTCTTCTAACCCTAGTCATTCTTCATATTTCTTACCCTTTTTTTGGATACCTTGGCACTGTTTTTTAGGGCTTAGGTCATGGGTGAAGACCTAACCATATATTCAGTAAACAAAGTCTCTTTTCAAACTTCAAGGTCTCTCTAGTGCCTACTAGGCTCAATCTCTAGTTGTGTACTAGCATGCAATATTTTGTGCTTCTGCCACTGCCAAAGTTTAATTGCCATAATAAAAGTAAACATAACAAGACAGAGCCAGTTCTTGCTTCACTGACCTTTTAAATAAGATAAATGTTTTCCTGAAGTTATCACTGAAGACTAGAGTACTATAATGGAGAATTTAACTCTTCAGGGAAGAGAAATTTCCAATCCAATTCTTTTGTCTCTTTGGAATTAGAATACATTTGTTTTATAAATGAATATAATTGCTGTGGACTCTGGATTTTTTTTTTTAAAGATTTTATTTATCTATTTGAGAGCGAGAGAACGAGAGATAGAGAGCATGAGAGGGAAGAGGGTCAGAGGGAGAAGCAGACTCCCTGCTGAGCAGGGAGCCCAATGTGGGACTCGATCCCGGGACTCCAGGATCATGACCTGAGCCGAAGGCAGTCGCTTAACCAACTGAGCCACCCAGGCGCCCCAGGACTCTGGATGTTTAAACCCTAGTAGTGCTGATTTTCTCTCTGGCAGTAATGACTTCACTTTAGCCTGGCAGCTTGTCAGTTTATTGGCTACTCCTGTTTAGCTTCCCTAGGTCTGGCTACAGAAGTTACTTTCAGATGATATTCTATTCAAGGAGCAACTGGCTGAAGGCAAAATAGAAAGGAATAATAGAGGAAAGTAATTAGAGAAATGGAGGGGAAAGGCAGGTATGAGCTACTACAAGATCATCATCTGGTATCCATTTAATCATGCAGCCACAAAGAAGCCAGTAAAAGAATCAGGACTTATTTACACATCACCTTCTTCATGTTAATGGCTTTGGGACACCAGTCAATCTGCTGATTACCTTGAGAAAGTACAGAAGACAGAGTCCAATCAGGCTTATAGGATTTCAGGATACTTTATTCACCTTGTAATATACCTCAATATCTTAGGAATAAGGATTGTGATATCTCAAGTCTGGCATAAAGGGTATATTTTCATAAAGGTATGTGTATATTGTAAAATCTTGTCAAATGCCATTTCTATTTTAGCCTGTCTCCTCTCTCCCAACACCCCTAACAATAGCAACGCATGACCCATAAGGACTGTGTTTCCGAATGTGGCTGTCATTCTGATTTGACAGTGTTTGTCTTCAGGGATTGTGTCCTGTGATCATATCTGATTCTTCTGAGGCCTTTGTACTTTTTGGCACATAATACGCAAATTTTAATGGAGGGAAACTTCTCCAGGTGGTTGTGTCTTAAGGTACACATTTGTAGGATTTGGGAGATGGCACTTATGTATCAAAGTATATTCTTTTTTCTAAAATGACAGAGGGACCTAGATATCTGTGGGAAAGTTTTCCAGAATTAAAAGCTTTGTATTATTCAGGTACCTGTTATTATTAGAGAGCATAATTCATAAATCAGACATGTATGGTGGGTTTAGGAAGCCTTTAAAGGAAGAAAAAGGCAGGTAGAATAAACCAGCACATGTTTATAATTCCTGATCTGCAGACATTAGATTTATTCCCATTTAGCTGAATTTCCAGAGTATCTCACCCAAAATCCGTGAAAGAGTTTTATCCTCTATAGATTTTCTACCCTTCCAAAAAACAGTCTTTTACTCATAAACCCTTAATTATGTAGGCTAACTTTGTTTTGCTATTAGTTGATTATATTAAAAGATAATCTTAGATTTACTAATATGGTTATGATTCCCCTTCCGTTCCCTTTCTTTTTTCCCTTTCCTCTCTTTCCCTTCCTGAACAATTTAGTCCCAAAGCCATTTGGGGGCCCAAACAAGGCAGGTTGTCCATATTTGCACTGGGGAGGAGGATATGCTGTGATGGCTCTGAGCAAGCTATCTGAACTCAACCATGATGAGGAGAGTATTCATGTGACACCAAAGGTGTCAGAGCTCAAGGGAATGAGATGGTAGCCACCTGCAGCTGGGGATGAAGGTTTTTTCAGGGAGGTGTGGAGGTAGGCTGTGGTTTGTATGGGAATTCAGAGCCCAAGTAGGGGTAACAGAGGTGTCCCTGCAGAATTGGCAGCCTGGGATTGGATGTCAGAGTCGAAGCAGGATGAAAAGGGTATCTACATAGAAAAGAGGATCCCAGTGGATAGGACAGATTGGTTACCTGAAAAGATTGATCAAATATGTATATTAAAGATAATGGCAACTAGATTTTTCACTGTTAGAGATGGTAATTGTGATATGGAAAAAGAGAAAACTAGAATGTTTGGAATTGGAATTTCAGATTTCAGTGTGAACTCATGGTTTTAAATACATGGAGGTCAAGAAAAGACTGGGGAATTTTTAGACTGAAGGAGACTAAAGACTTATGAAGCCCAAACGTAATAAATAATACTGAACTAGATCCTTTTGCTTTAAAGGGCATTACTGTTTCAGTTGATAAGACTTGACCAGAGTCAGAGACTTAGATAGGAACAATGTATCAATGCCAATTCCTAATTCTGATGGTTGTGTTTTGATTATGTAGGAGAATGTTTTTGTTTTTGGGAAATACACACTAATGTATTCAAGGATTATGGGGCATCAGTCAAGTAAGCAACTTACTTTCAAATGATTCAGAAAGGTTTTCTGTAAAACATCTGAAACTTTTGGGGTACCTGGGTGGCCCAGTCGTTAAGGGTCTGCTTTTGGCTCAGATCATGATCTCAGGGTCCTGGGATCGATCCCTGCATCGGGCTCCCTGCTCAGCGGGAAGCCTGCTTCTTCCTCTCCCACCCCCCCAGCTTATGTTCCCTCTCTCGCTGTGTCTCTTTCTGTCAGATAAATAAATAAAATCTTTAAAAAAAAATCTGAAACTTCTAAGGTTTATGATTGTTTCACAATTTTTTTAGAAATGCATTTAATGAAAAGTAATGGTGTGTTGTACAATATGTTGGGCACCTGAAACTAATATAACATTGTCAGTTATACTTCAATAATGTAAAAGAAGGTAATGCTGTGGAATTAAATCTCAGTTTTAGCTCATTGATTTAGAACTCTATTATTTAAATTTAAATATAATTAAATTAATATAAATATATTATAAATTTAATTAATTATATAATTATAATTAAATTTAAATAATTCAGTTAAAATTAAATGTTTAAAATTTTTAAATTATTTAAATTTAAAAATGACTCAGGTTATATTCTCTCACATTTTTTGCAGGATTATTGGCCAAGGGAAATCCATTTTGGAGATAGTGATGAATGGTTACACACTGTGAAGAAAATAAAAGAAGATAGTTCATTTACTTCAATTTATACACATCTGTGGGGAACTGTCCCTCGAATACATGATGCAGTCATGGCCATGGAGTCAAGATTAGGGGAATGTTCAGTTCTTTTGAAAAGCCATGCCTCTAAAATATTTGAGTGGAGGAGCATAATTTTTGATACAAGTAAACCTTATTTTTGATGAGTAAAGTAATGGTCAACTTTGTGTGTCTGTGTGCATTCTCATAAAGAATGAAATCCTAATGTATAAAATATCTACGAACATAAACATTATTTTATTTTATTTTTAAAACTTCTTCATTTCCACAGAGTTCAGTCAAGATTTTTAGTTGAACATGAACATGTGGATTTAATGAAAGTGTTGTTAGAACAAAGCCTAAAATAGTTGTGAACTTTGTTAAGCTGCAGCGGAGGTGGCTGAGTATCAGGGAAACAGGGTTGGATCAATTCTATGTTGGTGCTTGAGACAAGCAAGTCAGCAAGGGTCAGAACATAAGAACAGAAACACATAAAATCCACAGTAAGTTGAGCTACATGAACTAGGTTAGCTTGTAGGAAGTGTTTAGAATTCAGTGGTGAAAAACTGCAGATAGGAAAAAGCATATCTGCCAGTAATGATCTTTTTTACTTCTTTTCAGTATTTAACATTTTTTATCTAGTTGTATTTGTTAATACTTCAGAATAGTTTTACATACTAATGGTGATTCTTGTATCATTCTTTATGTAATTGGCAAACTTATTATAATACAAGTCTTAAAAATGATAATATTAGTTGTACTTATAAAGTATTTTCTATGTATTAAATGCATTTAATTAGTTATATTACTTAAATATTTAATATCCTTTTTTGACCTTGGTTTTTCAAATTCTGAGAATTTGTTTATTATACTACTAATAAATTCACTACTGTTTTATTTTAAATTTTTGTATTGAATTTTTAATCACTTTTTAAATTTAAAAAATATTTTTGAAATCATATAAGCTATATATATTAGAGAGAGAGAGAGATGGAGGGAGACAGAGAGAGAGTGAGCAAACACAGGTCTGCACTTTCAAAAAAATAATTTTATACTCATTGTCCTCAATATGTAAATATCTGAGTTTGGACTCCAGTCTGGGTTATCTGACTTCAAAGTCGTCCCCCATAAACTTTCACTAGGCTTTGCTCCAAAGTACTGTACTTCGCTGAATTTAAGGTGGTCATGAAACAACCAGACATAAGTAGCTGAGCTATTTGAAAAACATGGGCTTGTTCAGTAGGAAGGTATTGAGGTAAAACTTTAGATTTATGAGTAAGTACCAAAGATATATTAGTTGGAACATGAGATTTATAAAAAGAGGAAACAGAAGATGCAATATTTATTCCTTCAACTAAGGGTATGTGTGTTCTAGCATTATGCTTATCAAAATAGTTAGTTGATCTCATTGAATAGTTTTATATATAATTTCTTTAAAGCATTTAAATTTTTTTCACTTTAAAAGATATATATCTGTGTACATATATGTCTCTTCTTTTAAAGGTTCTAAAGGAAATTTGGAAAGATACAAGGCATTTCTAAGGAAGTACCATAGGGAAAAGAAGATAATGGTATGGTATTTGTTTTCATCTTCCCTGAAAAATTATATTTTCACAGAAAATTATTATAATTTCACAGATAAGCACTGATAGAATTTTTTTAATTTTCTTTTTAGTCTTTTATTGCCTATTTGTGTATCTATGTGTCTTTAAAATAGCTAGACTCACATTCTTCTTTACACACTCAATATTAGAATGTTGGCATTTTCACATTACTATAAATTACTTGAAGACTTAATTTAATGTATACGTTCCAACCTCCAGTTATTTAATAATTTATAATAACCTATACTTAGTAGTGTAGGTTCTATATCAGTCCTCTTCCTTTAGAAAAAATCAACAATTCTTTTTAACAATAATCTTTTTGATTATTTAGAATTGCTTTGTCAATTTTCAAAAAAAAACTCTGATTTTTTTTAATTAGAATTATAAAAGACTTTGAATTACTTTTAGAAACTTAATCCTTTTCAAAAATACATTCTAAAATTATATAATGTTAAAGCTATAAAGACTTTAAGTGCCACCAGTAGTCTATCCACCTCACTAAATGTTCTTTTTCAAATTTCAAAATTACTTTATTTTTTCCTGATTATGACTAAAGTAGTCATTTTAGAAAATTAGAGGAAATAGATAAGCAGTAGAAAGGATAAGCACTCTAATTCTATCATTTATAGATAAATCGCATGTACGCCACTATCTAGTTTTTGCTTTCATTCTTTTATTTTATTTTAAAAAATAATTTAGAAAATTCAGAGTAAATTATGTATTTGTAATTCATTAAATGTATTATGAAATTTTCATTAATATATATTCTCCACCATCTTAAAAGTAAATTAATGTAATAACCCTTTAGTTAGACATTTAGGTAGTTTTCATTATTCACTATTATTTACAAAGCTGTTGTGAACGTATTTGGAACTAAAGATTGTGTTTGTCCATGATTATTTTCTTAACATAAATTTCCAGAAGTGGAACCACATAGGAAAAGAAATGTGAAAAATCTAAGTGTTTTGATACGTATTGCCAAATTGTTCTCTAGAAAGGCAGTACCAATTTATAACAATATAACAACAATTTGTGATTGATCTCTTATCCATTTCCTTGTCAACATTTAATACTATATTTTTTGTGGTTTGCACAGTTGATAAGCATAAATGTTATCAGTTGCATATGTTTTACTAATAAGGAAATTGATACTTTAGGTTTTTCTTAGTCTTTGTGTTTCTTTTACTGTGAATTGCCTATTTATGAAATTTGGCCTTTTTTTTTTGGCTGTTCTTTTTTTTATTTCAAAGAGCTGTTTATGCTTTAAAAATATTAACCCTTTCAGTAATATGTATTTCTTTGTTGCCTTTTAAAAGGGGTTTTTTTGTTATGTAGAATTTTACATTTTTATGGATCTATAATTTTCTTTTGAAGTTTTCTGCCTTTAGTGCCATATTTAAGAAGACTTTCTTTGTATATATGTGTGTGTGTATGTGTGTGTATATGTGTGTATGTATGTGTGTATGTGTGTGTATGTATGTGTGCATATGCGTGTGTGTGCGTGTGTGTGTGTGTGTGTGTATAGGTGTGTGTGTATATATATGTATATATACATTTGTTCTTTGGATGTTTGGCAAAAGTCAACTATGCACTTCAGTTGATTTGATTATTATTTATATTTTCCACAGGGGAAGAGGTAGGTTGGTAACAAAGCTGTGTGGAAGTTGACAGATTTCATAAATATCAACTTGGGTAGATTGTCAAAACGTAATATTGAGTGAAAAAAAGTGAATTACTAAATAATATGTACAGTTGATACCATTTCTTTAAATTTTATTTGTTTATTTTTTAAAATTTTATTTATTTATTTGACAGGCAGCGAGAGAGGGAACACAAGCAGGGGGTGTGGGAGAGGTAGAAGCAGACTTCCCGTGGAGCAGGGAGCCCAATGCAAGGCTCAATCCCAGGACCCTGGGATCATGACCTGAGCCGAAGGCAGACACTTAACGACTGAGCCACCCAGGCACCCCCCCCCATTTCTTTAAATTTTTAATAGCACACAAGAAATGTTTATATTCTTTAAATATATGTACACATATATGTCAAAGTATGTTAATGGAATGGAAGGGATGCAAACCAAACAAATAATAGTGACTCTTTCAAGGAAGGGGAACACATGAATAGAACTATAGAGATTATGGTAAAAAAAGGGAATCTGAACTTTATACTTTATTATATAAATTTCACATTTTATTTTATAACATAGTCATAAGCAAATACTAAAATGTCAACAGTAATCCATTCTAGGTTGTGGGAACATGAAAACACTGGTAATTTTTTTTTAATTTTCAAGGGAATTTCAAAAATTCTGACTTTTGAATTTTATCAGATAACTTTCAAGGATCTATTGCAATGACCTATAGATGAGTTATACTACAAAAGTTTTAATTATTTATATTGCTAAATGTGTTTTATTGATTTTTTTATTTGAACTTTAACACATATTATTTATATTTTTGTGGTATCTTTTCCAGGTTGTATGATCAAGAACTAGTTTTGTGTTACTATTACTGTGCTCTTTGAAAACTTCCAGTGTTTCCTTGCTTCCTGCAGAATAAAGCCAGGACTTTGAGATTAACATTAACATCTTTCTAAATCTGACCCCGTCCTCATTGATTGATGATATCTGTAGCTCTCAAGCATACAGCCTTCTTTCTTATCACAATTAATTTCATTTTCCCTAAATAATCTTTCTTTTTTTATTCCTTTGCATACTTTTTTTAAATGACAATAATGTCATTCTCTTTCTGTTAGCAATCTGTTATCATTCTTTCAAATTTGTTTCCTATGTCAATTCCTCTATAACGTGTGTTTTGTATAATGTGTGTGTGTATGTGTATGATTTGCCTGTGAGCTTAGTTATTTCTGGGAGAAGTGGGGATGTGGAAATTAATAAATTTATCAACATGTCTGGATGATCAAAAACTAATGTATACAGAAGGCTACTTATTCTCTGTGCAAAGTAGTATGGTGGACATAGAGATGCACCACCCAGATTCCCCGTCAAGGAAGAATCTGTTGTCCTAGCTGCTAAGAGTGCTGTTATTGGGGCACCCTTCAGCTGTCAGCCCCTTTGGGGTTGCTTCACCTACAGAGAACTTCTTCTTCCAAAGACATACCCTTCCAGGAACCACCTACATCCAGTGACTGATCAAGTTGGTGGCAGAAAGGCCTGGCTCTTTCAACCCAATGCAGGACAACTATGATAGGCCCTTTCCGCTCTAGAGCTCTTTTTAGAGTCCACTGAGGCTGTTAGACTTGTATCATAGCTGATTTCTCCAACTTCCCAATTATGCCTCTCCCCTTGCCTTCTGTAGATGTTGATCCCAAAGGCACTCCCAGCAGACATTCTGAATACTAAACTCCACCTCAGAGTCTATTTCTCAGTGAACCAAAAGTGCAATAAGTAGTTTTATATTTCTATTATAGCCCTTATCTCTCTGTTTTGTTTGTATATGTATCTGATTCCCCTGTTGAACTATGACTAGCCTGAGGGCAAGGACCATCTTTGTATTCCTACCATCTAGCACAGTGACAGCATTCTAGGCTTCAATAGGAGATACACACACACACACACACACACACACACACACACACACACACACAGTTAACTGAACAAATTTACAAAATATAAAAATTTAATTTAGAATTTTAAACATTTTATTTAAATGTTTTCCAGCTTTCAGATGAAATGGAGACAAAGAAGACTGTAGAGGTATTTAAAATTTCTGTTATATAAGATTATGTATCAGAAGTATTATATAGAAATAAAGAATGTTTACAATAATATAGATGTAGCTATAAATATAGATGGGGCTCTGAGAGAGAGGTGGGAACAGGCATAGAAGCTTTCTCCTTCTGCCTAGTCTTTCTTTATGGGTAGTCTGGCTAAAATTCTTGATAATTTGAGTTGTCAAAGTTGGTTCTGAAATATGATTTTGTCTTGCTTTTGGATTTGGCATATGAATATGCCAGGGCTCTTAATTTGAGAGAATCAGAAAATAGGAAGATTTTTTTAAAGTAGGATAAATAGTTTTCACTTATTTTAATAAATGGAAGTAAAATAATTATGTTAATGAGTTATGGTTAAATATTTATGTCTTCTGTAGTCCTGTGAGACGACTTTACTGGAAAGGGTAAAGTAATGACTGTTGTGTGATATTTCCCTCTTTCTAGGGTTGCAGCTTCTCAGGATTCAAAACAAATGAGCTTACTCAACTACCCAGACATTTGGATGCTGAACGAATTTATCTTTTTATTTTAAAAGCCCATAACTTTGATGTACGTAAACATTTTTATTGTATGATACATTTTGAGAATATGATTTCATAAATCAGACTTTTATTTAAAGCTATGACAAATTAGGTGATAAGCATGATTGAATTTTGAGGGCCTTAAGTCTGGCAGGGAAAGACCAGTGATGTTTAATGCTTTGATCACCAGAAAAGAATGTATTAGATTCTGTGTTACTGCCTCAGGGGTCTGAGGTTGCTACTGTGCATTGTCTTGGCATATGACTGTAACGAGTGTTTCCCCCTCCCTCTGCCTGCTTTATCAGCTCAAGAGATTTTAGTCTGCTTATTTTGACCCCAGAATAATTTATGAGAGCCCTTCTCTACAACACCACCTTTTTCCAAGTGTCTGGGGAATTTTTGAGTAGTATCCCTATAAGATAGCAAATTGAAAAACTGCAGGCATAGGACAGTAACTAGATCATTGCCCATTGCTTTGCCAAGGGTAGGATGAGATTTGGGTGATACCTGAAATTGATTTCCCCCTTAAATATTAGGTGGTCACCCACCAGGGTTTCTGTTTCTTGCAGGCTTCAACAGTGTTCCTTATACCCCAGGCAGATTCCTTCCAGATAGTTCTCTGGGATGGACTTGGCCTTGGAATTACCTAAACCCCTCCTAGAAGGGGGCCAAGTCCATCCCTCACCTCCCCATCCCTCACCTCTCCATCCTTCCCCATTCCTCACCTCCAGCCTTCCTGTGCCTCTTCATTTCTCAACACAAAATCCTTGTTGTTTTCTCTCCTACTATAGTTCATCAAAACAAGCATAATCCACCACTAAAGCCCTTTTTTTCACTCTCTTCAAGATGCAGTGTTCCAAGTAGTAGAGTGTGATTGACTGTTTACCCCTCAGTTAGGCAAGTACAGAGCACCTCAATTGGCAATTATAACTAGAATGATTCAGTAATGATACTCTCTCTTATTTTCCAAACTGATACAAATGTTTTTCAATTCTCTTTTATATTTTGTGGGATTTTGGTGAGAGTAAAGGCTTAGTCTGCCCCCTTTATGTGATCACCTGATCCCATTTTTGTAGAGAAAAACTATAGATGCTAATTGTAGTTATGCCTGGATCATGAGCCTATTTATTTGTTTCTCTGACTATATTTTCACAATTTCCTTGGGAAAAAGGTTTTATTGTTATAAAAAGAAATTGATAAATTATTGTTGTTAAAATAAGTTTATAAATGTTCTGGGTAATCTATAATATTCTAACATTCCATGTTCTAAGATGGTACTGTATTTTAAATATGGATGCATGTACATCTAACACAAATCATAAGGCAGTCACATAAATAAGGCATAGATGTACACTGTGAGGAATTATTAATATGGTTAATTTAGAGGATACTGGCATTATTGAAAGAAATAGGGAAGTGAGTGGAAGTAGATATGGGTAGGGGGTGGGTGGAGTATGACAAGCATCTGTGTATATCTGGGCATAGATACCAGTGTTTTATTTGTTAATACCCCTACCTGATTTCAAAAAAAGAATTTAAATTGGCTTACTATAGCATGTACAATGCAATGGCATTGAAATAAATAGGTAATGAAATTAGAGTGAAGAGAATATAAGTGTAGGAAAATAAAAATATCAGGAAAGGTTATTTCATAGAAATGTTTATAGTAACAGACCAAGAGATTGAACTTATGGATCTGAAACTTGGAAAGAGAAGGTTATAGGTTTACTGTTACATGAATGAAGGTATGGGAATCCATGGAATTGATGAATTCACCTAAACCCATCAAAACACATTCCTGTGCATACAGTCATTATCCTCTGTATCACCCAGAACAGAACTGTGGCTACAGGTGATGCTCAGTAAAAATTTTATTGAATTAAAATGAGCGAAAAATGACCTATATTACAAATAAGAGGAGCAAGCTAAGCCACAGGCATACTGATATACAGGAATAGAAATTCAAGAGAAAATTAGAAGTAATTTTATCCAACCTAGACTCAGTGTTAGAACCAAGTTAGATAATCTAAGTTTTAAGGTATGTTTACATTTACTTGACTCAAAAAAGTATCACAAAGTCGGGAGGGGAGAGGAAAGAACCATTTAACTTTTTAAACTGGATTTTGGGCTTTTTAGCCAATTTTAATTTTTTGGTTGTTTTGACTAAATATTGATATACTTTAAAGAATTTGAAATTTTACTGAAAAAGGAAGTTAGTGATACTAAACACAACCAAACTTAGAAACAATTATGGAGTTAGTGTATAATGAAAAGCGTCTTTGCTTGAAATTTGCAAATAATTTAAACCATTATTTTCCCCCATATTTCAATTTTCTACTTTTTTTTATGTATTTCACAAATGTTCTTTGTAATGAAAAAATACTAAATCTAAGCTGTTAAGTACTAAGTACTAAATTGAAGCTGTTACCAATGTACTCCATATTATAATTAGTGGCCTGTGGAAGAGAAGTGCCCCCACAGAATATGTAAGTAATCTTTTTGGTATAAAAGTCTGCATGATGTCCTTTTTGTAGACGTGTTGAGGAACACGAATTCATACCTATGGATTTCATTAAAGTAAGTCTTGAACTCTATTGAATCTGGTATTTAAAAACTTTTAGTAAATAAATAAGATAAAAATGATCAACTGAATGTGGCTATTCAAACCAAGATTTACCTTATGTGACAATTTTTTAATCACTTTCTTTAAGAGTACACTCTGTTTGGATGGAGTCTAGACTTATGGTGGGGTTTGTTGGGATAGAATTCAAAGATATGTCTTTAGAAATTATAGCATGTACCTTGGAGATTGCTGTTCTTTGTCTAGCCTACACTGTCATTTCAATAGTTAACTAGGCACATGTAATTGTTGAGTATATGAAATGTGGTTAGTGTGACTGATGAATTTTATTTCTTTTAATTTATATATAAATTTTAAAACTAATAGTTGATTCAGTTATTGAAAACTTTCAATTATGGTTGGAGCAAAATCACAACTGTATTTATGAAGTCTGAATACTGATCTAATATTTATGATGAAAATTTATTGTTCAAATTGAGATGTGCTGTAAGTATAAAATATATACAATATTTGAAAGACCTATTCCCACAAAAGAATGCAAAATATTTCATTAAGAGTTTAATGCCCATATGTTGAAATGATAACATTTTAAATATATTTGATTTAATAAATTTTATCCTTAAAATTAATTTCACTTTTTATAAAGTGGCTACTAGAAAATTTAATATTATATATATATGGCACAATTAAATTTCTTTTGAAAAATGCTAGTCTATAACCACTGAATACTTTTTATAAAGTCTATTTGCATTAACATGTTTTATAATGGACTTTAATTTGACCTCCATGCATCTTTTGTTCCATAGGAAAAGGTTTTCAAAATCTGGAAGACCCATTTTCTCTCAGAAGCCTCTATTGCTCTTTTACATGATTCCTTTTGGTGGTGGTTTCTGCATAAATTTAAGGTATAATGTTATTTTTTAAACTTCTTTTTTTAAGTTGATTTGTGGCACAGTTAATTTTTTAGTAGAGGTGGCACTAGTACAAAAAATATTTTTCTAGATCCTTTCACAGAACTTGGACTTTTAGTATTCCATATATGTTAGAAATCCTGTTTAAAATCTAGAGTTCTTTCAGAGGAGTTAAAACTTCAATATATTTCAAAGATCCTGAGTCTTCATTAATCAGAAAAAGATCAGTGAAATCAAGCAGTGTAATGAATAATAAAGTTGTAGCTTAACTTAGTACTATGATGTGCTGACAAACAGCTAAACAGAAAACCCACTGCAAATCAGTGACATTGAATGAAGTTTCATTTGGAAAATAGTCTACAGAGCAGATGGAGAAAGGGTCTTTACTTGATTCGGAAAGGTAAAAAACTCTGATTAGGATTAACAAAAAAAAGACATCTGGTTATTTGGGAAACGTATCTAAAAAACAATAAGAGAATGGAAATAAGCAGCACATGAGTCTTATGGTAGAGAATATGTGAGCCCGGAAAAAGTGGTGAATACCACACTTATTGTGGTATTGTGTGGCTTCTGGATCTGGAGAGTGGAAGATAAGAGCAGCCCCAGGGATCACAGTCTAAGCCTTAAGAAGGTGTGCCACCCCATCAAGGAAGCCTGAAAATAGACTCCACTCTCCACCTTTCCCCAGCTTAAATTGCTCACACAAATCTGCTTATGGATTGTCACAGGAATTTTACACCATGAAGAAATTGGTACAAACCATTCAGTTGGTGCTTTATGTTAGAATAAACTATAGGTTAGACTAACTCTAGGTTAAGAGTATCTGTCCTATATTTCTGATACTGTTAGGAGCTCTGGATGAAGCATAGGAAATGGTATATATCAGTAATACAAAGATAATTGCTGAGGGAAATTTGTGAAATCAAGAGTTTCATTACCTGAAATTTCTTTCTGTAGATCTGGATCCTGAATTTATGTTTTTCCATGAAAACAGAGAAACATTACATTCCCACTTAAATCTTTTGAGATTATATATAACAAGTTTTTGAAGGAAACATAATTTAGCAGTGTTCTATTTATTTATTTTTTTGGTCAGGCAATAATAGTATTTTATTGCTTTGAACAAACACAGACTTAACACAAAAATATTAATGACTCACTATATTTATAACTTTATTTTTGGAATAACAAGGAATTAGAATTTTTTATCATTTCCTTTTTTTTTTTTTTTTTTAAGTAGTCTCCATGCCCAGCAGGGAGCCCAGTCTGGGGCTTGAACTCACAACCTGAGATCAAGACCTGAGCTGAGATTAAAAGTTGGATGCCTAACCAACTGAGCCACCCAGGTGCCCCTAGAATTTTTTATCTTTAATTAAACTATTCTGTAGAAACTAGCTTTCTGAAATTAAAATGTAATAATTTAGTAATAATTTTAAAACATTATAATTTAATAAGATTTCTAGTGTCATGATTTTTGACATGTTTTGAGAAGCAATATATTCAGCTGGATCAGTGTTCTGCTAGTGTTCTGGGGAACTGAAAGGGGCAATTTGGGGGTCCAGATCAAATTGAAGCAGATTTTCCATTATTTAACTAGAACTCTTCCTCTTTCCTCTCTTTAGTTCATTACATTTTATCTATGATTTTATTTCTAAGAGGGTTTATTGTTAAATATATATATGATATATAAATATATATGTTAAAATGGATGCAAAATACATAAGTTCTGTCTACTTTGGAAGAATAAATAGTACTGGTTTTATACCTGGAATATAGTAAAACCATGAACCACATGTTCAATTCAGTTACCAAAAGTATAATATGAAAAAATATATAATCATATTCCAGAATATAGCATGCTTCAGTATGGTAGCTCTAAAAGTTATTTCAGTAATTGCTATATGATTAATATAAAACCACATTTCCTTTGTTTATTGCCCATGATTTAGTGATAACTTGGTCTAGTAGAAAAAATACTGAAGTTGGATCCAGAAAACTAGAATTTAAATCTTGTTTTCCCAAGTAGTTATTTTGAGACTTTGGGCTAGTCAAAAAATCACTCTGAGCTTCACTTATCTCTAAAAAACAAAACAGGTAGAAGATAACATATACCCTGCTTTTTTCCCCTAGGAATGTTGTATTAAAAGTGACATGAATAAGAAGACACCTAGTAAACTATGAAATACTATATAATGTAATATGAGATTCAATATAATAGAGTTAAGAGATCTGGCTTTCAAAAACAAGTTTACCCAGTTAGTAAATGATGTGACCTAGAATGGCTATTTACCTCTCTAAATCTTTCATAAAATAAAAAAATCACCTACTTTACATGTTTGTTGGGTTAAATGAGAAAGTGCATGTAAAGTTGTTTGTTTATATGGAGCTACATATATAGTAAGTGTTAAGTGGATGTATCTATCATCACCATCATCATTGTTGTTATTATTGTTACTATTGTTATTATATTTTGAGAACACAGTGTTCCAAAAATTGCTGACCAATGTATAGACTAATGACAAAAGTTTCCCTGATGATATTTGACTAGAAGAATTTTATTGTTGTAATAGTAATGATGTTTATGTAAAAGTAATGATATTTCAATATGCTTAATGTTTTTAAAAATTGCCCTTGAGACTTGGGCTTCCAAAAAGATTCAGAAAGCTGGAAAGCACATCATTCCCACCCATATAACAACAAAGAAAAGCGATATAACCTATAAAATTAACAACTTTTTTGAACTCATCATATAGAGTAGATTTCAAAACAAAGAATGTTGCCAGGGGAAAAAGAGAGTAATTGTATGATGATAAAGTGGTTGATTCATCAATATAACATAACAATTCTAAATATATATGCACCTAATAAAAATGCTTTGAAACACATTTAATAAAAACTTTTAAAACTTCAGGATAAATGGGAAAATTCATAAGTACACTTAGGTGTTTCAATACCTCATTCTCAATAATTGGTGTACTATACAGAAAACCAATAATGATATAGAAGACTTGAGCAATACTGTCAACTAGCTTAATTGATCTAATTTGACATTTATTAAATATTCCTCCCAACAACAACAGAACACATTAAATATTTACCAAGTACTTTCTGGGCTAGGAAAACATCCTAATAAATTTAAAACAATTCAAGTCAAACACAGTATGTTTTCAGACCAAAATGGAATTATATTATAAATGAATCAACAGAAAGCTATCCAGAAAATCCTCAAATATTTGGAAACTAAATAACATATTTCTCAGTAACTGTGGGTCAAACCAGAAATCAATAGAGAAATTGGAAAGTATTTTGAATTTAATGAAAATACACATTAAAATTTGTGGGATGTGGGATGCCTGGGTGGCTCAGCCGGTTAAGAATCTGCCTTTGGCTCAGGTCATGATCTCTGGGTCTTGGAATCAGGCCCTGCATCAGGCTCCCTGGTCAGTGGGAGTCTGCTTCTCCCTCTGGCCCTCCCCCACTGCTCATGCATTCACTCTCTCTCTCTTTCAAATAAATAAATATCTTTTAAAAATATGAAATAAAATTTGTGGGATGTAACTCAAGCAGTATTTAGAAATTTAGAGGACTAAAATAACTATATTAGAAATAAGTAAAGTTCTCAAAAACTATGACCTCAGCTTCTATCATAAAAAACTAGAAAAAGAGGAATAAAATAAACCCAAAATGAGCAGAAGAAAGGAAATAAAGATCAGAGAGGCAACTAATAACAGGAAAAACTGAAAAACAAAGAAGGAATTTGAGAAAATCAATGACGCCAAAAGCCGGTCCTTCGGGAATCCTAAAAACAAGGTGATTGCAGAGGAATTGGAAACCTATGTTTCACAGACAGTAAGCATAGCAGAAATAAAACCCAGATACTGCTTAACACTTGACTTAATTGAATCAAACCCCTAGAGGCTAACAGAAGAAGAAGCACACCTATTTCCAAGCATAAATACCTTAGTTTTTACTGTCTTATGAAGATGTCCACGCCTCAAACAGAAATTACAAAATACATGAAAAAGGAATAGAATTGATGAGTTGTTAGGTATGAAAATGTTCGCTTAACAAGATAATGCCAGATTGTTTCCAAACTGGGTGTACAAATTAATACTCCCATCATCAATGTATAAGAGTTCCTAAATAAGCAAAGGTCAAAGAAGAAATCACAAGAGAAATTATAAAATACCATGAGACAAATGAAAACAAAAACACAACATAACAAAACTTATGAGATGTCGTAAAAGCAATGCTAAGAGAAAAATTTATAGCTGTAAACACATTTTAAAACAATATCTCAAATCAACAACCTAACTTTACACATTAAGGAACTAGAAAAAGAAGAACAAATTAAACCCTAAACTAGCAGAAAGAATGATATAATAAAGATTAGAATGGAGACAAAATAGAGAATAGAAAAACAATAGAGAAAATCAACAAAACCAAAAGTTAGTTCTTTGAGAAGATCAACAAAATTGACAAAACTTCAGTTAGATTGACTAAGAAAAAAACAAAGGACTCAAATTACTAAGATCAGAAATGAAAGTGGGAATATTACTATCACCAAAGAAATAAAAAGGATTATAAGAATACTATGAACAAAGGTCTGATAACAAAATTGGGTAACCTATATGGAAATGGACAAATTCCTAGAAACATGCCATTTTCCAAAACTAAATCGTGAAGAAATAGACAATCTGAGTAGACCTATAACTAACTAGTAAGGAGATTGAATCAGTTAACAGAAACCTCCCAACAAAGAAAAGCCCTCTACCAGGTGGCTTCACTGATGAATTCTAGCAAGATAAAAGAATTAATACTAATCTTCTCAAACTCTTCCAAACAATCAAAGACAAGGGAACATTTCCTAACTTATTCTATGAGGCCAGCATTTCCCTGATACCAAAGCCAAAGATACTATAAGAGACAAAAAAATCTATACACCAATATCCTCTTTGATGAATATCAATGCAAAAATCCTCAACAAACCACCA